AGAAATTATTTTATTTATGCACTAAGTAATTCCACAATATACTGATAGTTACAAATCATTTTGATAAAAATATCAAAGCTTACAGAAAAAGAAAAGCTTTTCCTCAAGTTGCCTCCACAATCTCCAAATCCACCTACTTAAATGGATTTGTACATTTTATAAAATTAGATTAAAACCAAATGGCAATGCTTTTTTTAAAAAAATCTACATTGTTGCCTAGTACACAAATAACTTTATGAAATGCATTCCAATCTATAACTTCCCTCTACTTCAACCTACCCTACCCAAATCTGTTTCAGGAAAATACACATCACATGGGTATGGTTTCAGGAACACCTTCTCACACCAAGGGCATTTCTCAGTCTTCTCTGAAGCACACCAGGTACCTAGAATACCTCGCTGACAACCTAAAGTAATGTTCAATATTCTTTTTTTTTTTTTATAAACATATATTTTTTTCCCCAGGGGTACAGGTCTGTGAATCGCCAGGTTTACACACTTCACAGCACTCACCATAGCACATACCCTCCCCAATGTCCATAACCCCACCCCCCCCAACCCCCCTCCCCCCAGCAACCCTCAGTTTGTTTTGTGAGATTAAGAGTCACTTATGGTTTATCTCCCTCCCAATCCCATCTTGCTTCATTTACTCTTCTCCTACCCCCTTAACCCCCCATGTTGCATCTCCTCTCCCTCATATCAGGGAGATCATATGATAGTTGTCTTTCTCTGATTGACTTATTTCGCTAAGCATGATACCCTCTAATGTTCAATATTCTTATGCTACCATCAGCAACCCATAACTAAACATATGTATGTAGGTTCCTAGAAAACATAAACCAAATCTCTGCAAGTTCTCTATATAAACTAATTACAAAATGATTTCAAAGATTAGAAACAAACTATGAGTGGTTACCAGATGCTGGCAGGGGGAGGGGTGGTGGTAAGGAGTTGTCTAGTAAGCAGAGTTTTAGATGGGGATGATGAAAAGTACTAGAAGTGATAACTTCTGATAATAACCCCACAACAATGTGAATGTACTGAATGTCAAAAATATGCCACAAAATGTTTAAAGTCATAAATTTTATTCTATATATATTTTACCACAATAAAAATAAATAAGCAAACAAAAGAAATATTACGAACACCACCATAAGTATCCCACAGTTTACTGTTCACCTGAAAAGCACCTTCATAATTTTCTACTACTAAATTGATCTGAGAATACCTAACACAACTGTTATTTTTTGAAAGCTCAGTAATATTAGAATAGTGTCTCAATTATTATTTAATCCTTTTCAAACAATTCTTTATTAACAAGAGCTATGGCAAGAGACTGCATTTATATAAACAAATAAATGCTTAGAAATTAATGATTTAAAGGAACTAGAGAACAATAAATGTAAAGGGAGGAAAAGTAAGTGGAAGGGAAAAGGGAAGAAAATAGAAAAAGGAAAAAACATTATTTAAAAGGACAAAAAGAACTATACCTCATTATTTAGATCATCAAAGTTGAAAATCCTTCCTAATTCATAAACTTAGCATAACATCAATTAAAACTCCCAAAAGATAACTGAAATATTAAGGAACATACTGATAAGAAGTATACAGTCTAAAATAAATTTGAAAAAAAAAATCATGTACTGATCTAAATAAATAGGTACTATCCATACAACCTATTGATTCTAGATAAAAACAGACAAACGGAGGGGGAACGGTACCTGGGAGAAAAAGTCAGTTAAGTGTCTGACTTGTGGTTTCAGCTCAGGTCTGACCTCAAGAGTAGTAAGACCAAGCCCCACATCAGGATCCACACTAAATATAGAGTTGGCTTTGGCTTTCTCTCTTCCTCTTCCTCTGCCCCCTCACCCCCTTTCCCTCTCTCTTTCGCTCTCAAATAAATAGATAAATCTTAAAAAAATGGGAAAGTTTTTTAAAGTTTAAAGGTCATTTTAAATGTATGAGGCCAATACTGGATGGACTTTGAGGGCATTATGCTAAGTGAAATAACTCATATAGATAAAGACAAATATTGTACGATTTCACACACATGTGGCATCTAATAAAACTGAACTCACAGAATAGTGGGGTTGATGGTTGCCAGAGGTGGGGGGTGGGGTGAGGTGAAGTGGGTGAAGGGGGTCAAAAGGTAAAAACTTCCAGCTTTAATTAAGTTCTGGGAATGTAATGTACACCATGGACAGTATACTTATAATACTTTATTATAACTTTAATGTTGCTAAGAGAGTAGATTTTAATTCTTATCGTAAGAAAAAATGAAAAAAATAACAAATGTTGCTAGTAAAATAACTGTTAACATGAAGAAAAACTAAACTCTTCATCTTCACTGTACATTATGCAGAATTTCAGATGATTATAAATTTTTCAACTGAAAAATATGGAATATTTCTAGTAATGAAAGGGAGTTTATCTTCGCATTTCAAGCAAAAATCATATTATTATAAAAAGTATCTACAAAATGAATACCAAATTTAACTTTACCAATGTAAAGATGAAAAGAAAACTGACAGAGTGGAGAGGAGGGACACTGTAACTGGAATGCTAGATGAACGTTTTATTTCCAAAATATAGTAGGATGGAATTGGGTTGATACCTAATCCTCTTTTTTTTTTTTTGATACCTAATCCTAAATAGCCAAATTGTCACAAAATTGAACTTCAATCAAAAGGAGGTTAAGTTGTACCTATTTAACCATGTGCCAGATACTACTGTGAACACTTTATATATGTTAATTAATCTCACACTGTGAGGAAGAAGCCCCTGTGAGGAAGACACTATTTTTATTCCTACATAGCAAATGAGGAAGATAAGATACACAGTCTGACACAGCTAAGCGGTCAGAGCTAAGATGTGAACCCAGGCAGTCTCACTCCGGAGTCCCATGCTCTCGACTACTAAGCTATCTAAACTAAACTAAACTAAACTCAACTACCACTAAACGGCACAACAAAAATTCATGGACCTTTTCATTCTACAAATCTAAGTCTATCACATAGACATAAACTACTATAACACACAACAAAATACAAGTAAGAATGATTTTGATACAGTGCTTTGAGGATTCACATGACCATAATATGATTTGCTATAAAGGGGATAAAGCAAGCTTTGTGGAAGAAATGATATGTATATTGGGCCTGGAAAGATATGAGAAAACAGAGACAGAAAATGCGAGAATAAAATACTTCACACTAAAGGAATACAATGACCAAAAGCATAAACTAAGGTAGAAAAGCACTGGCAACTGAAAGGCTTTTGTTGAAAAAAATGGTACTTAGAGGAAAAATAAATGAAAAATAAATGAGTCAGATGCCTAGAGGGAGGACAGACAACTCACTGCAGAAGGCAGGGTAGTAATATGGTCAGAGCTGTTATACGGCAACTGGATATAAGAAGTGGATAGGAAAGAAATGGAAAGAAACGCCAGGAGGTTAATTCAATAGTCTAGCCATGGTAAGGAATGTCTCAAGTAAAGCGGGACCAACAGAAATAGAGAAAAAGGAAAAGATATACAGCACACAGTAGCTACTCAAATCCCAATTAAATTAAGGAACTAACAGGGTCAGAAAGAGAAAGACTCAGTACACTAAAATGTAAAAACAACAAAGGGGATAAATGAGGCCACATTTGGAGGCCACATTTTGGGGAACCTAAAAAGGGCTGCATGTTACAAGAAGGGCTTGACTGAAGGGGCAGAAAGACCCTGAACACAAACGACCCTTGCCTGGTTTGGCCAGGTTCAAGAAGTTAACTGAGAAGACTTTATTATATCAACAGTCTGTGAGATATTTTGGAGGCAGACTGACAGAATTTAGCAACAGTATTAATGTGGAGGTGACTCTGAGGTTTTAAGTGCAAATTAAATAATCTTGCCATTAACAGAGATAGGGAACAAAAGAGGGAAAGCAGGTTTAAAGCAAAAAGAGACATGACTTCAGGTTTCTACATGGTGAGATCAAAGCTTATATAGTATGATACCCAGAAATAATGATGTGTCCCCAAGACTAGTGCTACAGTGAGAAAAATCAGAGCTGAAAAATACAGATGTCACCCATATAAAGATATGCATAAGTTGTAGGATTTAAAAAAAAAAAAAAAAAAAAGAATGTACTAGAAAAGAAAAAAGGATTAGGGGAAAAAAGAAAGGATCAAAGGAAGTTTAAGGAACTTCCTATATTTAGGAGGAAGGAAAGCCAAAGAAAGCATCATCAGAGGGTTAAGATTAGCACCACAAGAATCAAGTATGGGGCGCCTGGCTGACACAGTTGGTGAAGCATGCAACTCTTGATCCCGGGGTTAGAAGTTCAAGCCCCATGTTGGAGCCCCATGTTGGGTGTAGAAGTTGCTTAAAAACAAAATCTTAAAAAAAAAAAAAAAAAGAAGTGTAACACAGCAGTGTTCTCTAACATTTTTCACAGGAAGTACACAAATTAGACAATATTTTTATGGCACAAAGGGGTAAATGAGGCTGCTAAAATCAGATGTTATTAGCCCAGGAATTAAGGAAATTATTAATCTGTATACCAGTTAATCAACTTGCCGTATTGAAAGCTCTGTATGAACAAAAAGATTTACGCCAAAAAGCTTAAGATTATATTGTCCTGAACTGTCTTTCTATAGTCACTGGTTAGGTAGAATACTGCAGAAATGACAATGAAGAACTGAAAAATAACCATGAAACTTGAGAAATCATTTAACTGAGAAATCACTAATGGTTTTAAAAGTCAGTGGAAAAAGCTAGACTTTGGGAAGCAACTCTGGACAAAGGTTTAATTAAAATATCAACATTGTTACCAGTCATGTTACCCTGATTGGTTACAGAGAGTAATTTAAATGGAATGATTCCTCAAATCTTGCTAGCAAAGAAGTCCCTTTTTAAACTAAATTGTAATTGTAATATACTTTACCTTCTAACTCTCATTTTATTCATGTTAATAAAGAGAATCAATAAAGCTCCTCTGAAACTTTGCAACACTTACCCAGTTCGAGATTGACCGACTTTATCACAAATATCCAAAATGAGGCCCCAATCCTCAGCAGTATTCATCTCACTGGTTGCTTTCTCTGTGTATTATGAAAAGAAATTGCAGAAACATTATTTTTGAAAATCTTTAAGAGGTAAATAATCACATTTAAATGACTAAATTGTGATAAGAAATCAGAATAGTTGCCAGCAGCCTGTTTAATGAGATGGTCAAGAACATCTTCAAAAGGGGTTAGGGGCACATTTACCACCTATTGAAATAATTTTCCCCATACACATTTCAGATGCTTATTACTTAATATTAAGAAATAGCCCTGGAATTTAAGGAAAAAACAAAAAAAAACAAAAACAAAAATAAAAAAAACCAGATGAACATATAAGGGAAGGGAAAGTAAAAAAAAAGATGAAAACAGACAGAGGCAAATTATAAGAGACGTAACTATAGGAAAGAAACTGAGAGCTGCTGGTGATGAGGTGGGGGGATGGGGTCAGTGGGTGATGGTCATTTAAGGAGGGCACTTGATGTAATGAGCACTGGGTGTTATATGCAACTGATGAGCCACAAAATTCTACCCCTGAAACTAATAATATATTATATGTTAACTAAGTTGAATTAAAATAAAAATTTTTAAAAATTAAAAATTAAAAAAACCTTTAGAAAAGGAAAAAAGAAATATGCCACTGATGGGACACCTGGGTGGCTCAGCTGGTTAATCATCTGACTCTTGATTTCGGCTCAGGTCTTGATTCAGGGCCCTAACATTGAGCCCCATGCCTAATTCCCCACTCAGTGCGGAGTCTGCTTGTCCCTCTCCCTCTGCTCCTCCCCCCGCACTCCCCTCAAATAAATAAACAAATAAATAAAATCTTAAAAAAGAGAAACAGGCCACTAATACTTATTTATAAAAAAACAAAAACAAGAAACTACATACAGGTCTATTCCCTTCCCCACGAAGAAAGACTAAAATAAGAAATACTTCCACTATCAAGTAATTCTTAACTTTACCTGCCAATGAAGAAACATGACAAGGCACAAATCTCTACCAAAATGTTTCCGGTAATTAACTAATTATATGATTTTGTTGATTTTCATGTGTGACATGGGAAAGGAGGAAAATGAAAAGAAACTAAGCTTTAACTGAGTATTTTCCATTAAATAAAAACTTAACAGGGGCACCTGGGTGGCTCAGTGGGTTAAAGCCTCTGCCTTTGGCTCAGGTCATGAACCCAGAGTCCTGGGATCCAGCCCCACATAGGGCTCTCTGCTCAGCAGGGAGCCTGCTTCCCCTTCTCTCTCTGCCTGCCTCTCTGCCTGCCTGTGATCTGACTGTCAAATAAATGGATAAAATCTGAAAACAAAAACAAAAACAAAACTTAACAAATTAAAAACATTAACAGAGGTATCACAGATGGAGCCCAGCCATTTCATTAAGCTCTCTCCCTTTTTTATTTAAAAAAATTAGAAGTTTTTTTAGAGCAAAGACAAGGATAAAGAAAACATGAGGACCAATAACAGCAATACTATCTCAAAAACTATGTAACAATAACAGATATACAGTACCTACTAAGACCCAAAAAAGGTGCATGATATACTGGTAGTAACAAGAAAGGTTAAGAACCAACCTGTTTTACACCACTGAATTCTCGGAAAAGTCAAGAACTGGTAGCAGAAAGAAATGCCTGCTGCTGACAGCGGAGAAGAAAGAGGACTTAGAACGGATCAACTTTGTTGGGAGTGTGTAGGTAAGTACCTAATTTGCCTTCCTTACTCAAGAGCTCTGGCAACCATCTCTCCCCAACCCACCTGAGCAAATGAGCGAAGATTTGCTTTCTGGAGATAAAGCAAAGTTTTTTCTAGACAAGGAGACACAAAGCATAGTTGAGACGTAAGTATCAAAAACAAGGAATTACTTCCAGTTTCCAGTATAGCATTTAAAGAACTTGGAAGTTACCACTCCATCCAACAAGGAAAAAGATGAATACCATGAAAACTAAACAACTCTCCTGAGATCCTTCTGAAGTAAGGTCACAGGCCAAATGCTGTCCCCAAAATTAGAGACATAGACAAATGGAATATCAATTTAACAGAGCAGAAATCCATAACCAGAAATATCACCAACATCCAGTACCACAGATCTAAGCTGGAACAGACAAACTGCTGGAGGCTAAGTGTGCACAATTCTGGAAGCTAAAATCCAAAAGGGCCCAGACATAGGGGATTTCCCACATTTCTGTAATTTTATTTTTATGAGCAGGATCTCGAGGTAATATCAGAGAAAACTTTCTACTTTTCAGCAAGGGGAGGAGGACAATAACTATTGTGAGATACACCAGAGCATTCTCTTCTTAACAAGGCAACTTGTTAAGCACCTAACCAACTAGGGTTTTACCAGAGATTAATCCACCTGGGGTAAAGGAAATGCCCAACTCCAGCCTGCTCCACCCTTCCATATAGAAGAAGGGGAATACCCAACTTCAGCTCATCTAGTCATCTTCTCCCACCTAAGAGAGGGGAAAAACTGAGAAGCACGTGAGAAATTCACACCCTACAGGCAGAGGCTCACTTTAAAAGACTGAGAGCAGGGCACCTGGGTGGCTCAGTGGGTTGACCCTCTGCCTTCAGCTCAGGTCAGGTCTCAGGGTCCTGGGAACCAGCCCCGCATCGAGCTCTCTGCTCGGCGGGAAGCCTGCTTCCCCCTCTCACTCTGCCTGCCTCTCTGCCTACTTGATCTCTCTCTCTATCAAACAAATAAATAAATAATCTTTTTAAAAATAAATAAATAAATAAAAGACTGAGACTTAATCACCAGACTATATATCACTTCCTATCTAACGCCTTACTATTATGCCATTAAAGTATAGTGGGTTTTTGTTGTTGTTGTTGTTTTTGAAGGATGGTGTTTCTTTTATCAGTACATCATGTCTAGCTTTCAGCAAGCCACATTATAAGGCAAAAAACACAATATGAAGAGTAAGCATCAGAACCAGATACACACATGACAGAAATGCTGGAGTTATCAGACAGGAGTTTTAGAAGCTACAACTAATAACGCCAAGAGCTCTAATGGAAATAGGAGATGGCATGCAAGAACAGATAAAGAAAGTGAGCACAGAAATGGAAATTCTAAAAAAGAATCATAAGAATAAGAATCATAAAGAAATACTAGAGATCGGGATGCCTGGGTGGCTCAGTTGGTTGGACGACTGCCTTCAGCTCAGGTCATGATCCCGGAGTCCCAGGATCGAGTCCCGCATCGGGCTCCCAGCTCCATGGGGAGTCTGCTTCTCCCTCTGACCTTCTCGCTCATGCTCTCTCTCACTGTCTCTCAAATAAATAAATAAAATCTTTAAAAAAAAAAAAAGGAAAGAAATACTAGAGATAAAAAATGAACACCTGTGGCGCACTCAGCAGCAGACAGAACACAGCTAAAGACTCTCCAGACTTGCACACGTATCAGTAGGAACTTCCAAAACTGAAAAGCGAAGGGAAAAAAATGACCAGAAGGAAAACAAAAACAAAAACAAAAACAAAAACCCAGCAACAGATTATCCAAGAACTGCGGGAAATTACAAAAAGTAATGGACAGAAGAAACAGAATACTTGCTTGAAGCAAAAACAACTCAACATTGCCCCAAATTGGTGGGAAACATCAAACCACAGGTCCAGTGAACTCCAAGAATACCAAGCACAACAAGTACCAAAAAAAAAAACAACTACACCTGGGTATACCATTTTCAAACTGCAAAAAATCAATGATAAAGAAAAAAAATGGGGGGGGGGGAAGCCAGCAAAAGAACCACCTTACCTATACCAGAACAAACATAAAAACTACATCTGACATCTCAGAATGCATGCAACCAAGGAGGAAATGGAGCGAAAATAACCGCCAACCTATTACGTACCCTGTGAAATTACTCTTCAAAAGGAAAGAAGAAATAAAGACTTTCTCAAACAAAAAACCACTAAGGAAATTTGTTGCCAACAAACGGACCTTGCAAAAAAAAAAAAAAAGGTTAAAAAAAAAGTCCTTCAGAGAGAAGAAAATGATATAGGAGGTGTGAGTTTCCACGGAAGCGAAATAAATAACAGCAAGGATCTCAGGAACAGGAGAGAAGAACTAGGAATATTTTGTTATTCATTTCACTTGCCTGCACTACCAATGAAATTGTATAATATTATTTGAAAGTGGATTTGGACTACTTCTAAATGTACATTGCAGACTCTAGGGCAACCACTAAAAATAACAAAAACAGGAATATAATTAATATGCTACAAAAGAAAAAAGACTGAATCATATGAAATGCTCCATTAAAAGCACGAAAGAAAAAAAGAGTGGAAGAAAAAATAGGAACAAAGAACAAGGGCTACAACTAGAAAACTGTAACAGATATGGTAGATATTAATCCAACAATATCAATAATCAGTTTAAACATCAGTGGTCTAAATACAAATATTGCTGGAGTGATCAAAACACAAAATGCAATTCTATGTTGTCTAGAGGAAACCCACTTTAAATATAAAGACATACATTAAAAGTAAAGAGATGGAGAAAGATAACAATGCCAACACCAATTAAAAGAAAGTGGGAATAGCCATATTAATTTCAGACAGAGCAGATTTTGGAGCAAGGCAAGTTTTCAGGAATAGAGGCATTACATAAAGTAAAGGGGTTAATTCTACAAAAACATGTAACTATCCTTAATATGTACATGCCTAACTACAGAATGTCAAAATAACAGTGTCAGAAAGTAACAGAAGTGCAAAGATAGGGGCACCTGGGTGGCTCAGGTTATGATCCTGGGGTCCTGGGATCAAGCCCTGTGTCAGGTTCCTCTCTTCATGAGAAGCCTGCTTCTCTCTCTCCCTCTGCCCGCCACTCTGCCTGCTTGTGCTTGCATGTGTGCACACGCCCTCCCCCTCTCTGTCGAATAGATAAATACATAGATAGACAGACAAAATCTTTGAGAGAAAGAGGGAGGGAGGGAGGGAGGCAGGGAGGGAGGGAGGAAGGGAAAGACAAATCCAGAAAGCAGAAAATCACTAAGGACATAGATGAACTCAACACCATCACTCAACTGG